TACTTTTATTCATACAAATACCCAATAATAGCAAATAGTGTACTAGATCAGTAGATGTAGGGATAAACATCGTCTGTGTTGTTGCAGAATCCTTCATGCCCTCTGATCACTTGAATTAATTTGCCATATCCACCACGAGGGATGTGTCTCCTTTGTCCACGGTGAACGTCTTGAGAGTCTTCCCCGCCGCCGTCGTCACCTGCACGACGTACGTGCCGTGGTAGCCCCTGAACCTGAAATTGCCGTCGCCGTCGACGGTCCCGCGCGCGTCCGACATCCACTCCCTCCGGAGATCAACCAGCCTCTGGCCGGCCTCGTTGATGGTGCCGTCGGCGTCGACGAGGGACGCGTCCTGGCGCCACATGCGGCCCTGCATGAAACCCCAGAGCACGACGCCGGCCACGGCAGCTGGGAGCATGGCCACGTCCTGCTCGACGACATGCTCGGACAGCATGGTGCGAGAACCGAGCGGCGCCCAGCCAGCTAGCTTGGTGTGTGGTACTGTGGTGGGCTGGCGGCTGCGGCGCGGCGCGTCGCACGGCGGCGGCGGCGCGCGGCGGTGTGAAAGGGGATCGGCGCGGCGGATCAAGTGAACGGGGATGCGTGCATGCAGCGCAGGATAAGGGAGACGGCCGATGGGGAGACCGGAAGTAGTCTAGAGTTTTTCCTCTCAGTTGGGCTTGGGCCGTTTGTGTAACTTGTGTTGTCTTGTCTGTTGGGCTTGGGCCTTTGAGTGTTGGCTCGTTAAGGCTCGCGAGCTAGCTCGTTATCTCTAACGAGCTTTAAAGCTAGCTCGGCTCGTTACGAAATTTAAACGAGCCGACCCAACCCAAGCTCGTTACGAGCCGAGCGAGCTAACGAGCCACGAGCTTCCTGTCCACCCCTAGATGTACTCCCTCCGTCCCATAATAAGTGACACTATAATCCAAGCATCTGTCCTAAAATAACTGCATTTGTATATTGCTCCAAAATAAGTATATTTGTGTAGTGTTACTTTTCTCTCCCACCATTCTACCCCTCAACTACCTTCTCACTCATAACCTCTTCCATTTTATAAAAGGTATTTAAGTTATACTCCTTTCCCACTAGTTTGTTCTTTGCGTCCTACAAATACACTTAAAAAGGAGACGGAGGCCGTACGTAATTAGGAAAAAAACAACATGAAACCAGTGTTTTGCTCCGAAGAAACTATTTGGGTTGCTCTTGAAAGGAACACACAACATTGTTCATTGCTCGGTTTTAATATACACCATTTATATTAGTAGTGCTATCTCAATTTATTTTAAGAAATACGTTGGATTGCGTAGTTTAATGAGCATGGCTTGTTTGAGCGCATCTTCATCGTATTGGTTGACCATGATAGTTCTAATTTCCATGGTTGTCAAAGTGCTGGTGGCCGTTGGTCTAACCTCAACAGGAGAATAAGTTTCAACGCATAAGATTTAGACACATTTTGCATAACATACAAAATACATGCATCGACTTGAGCAACGTGGATAGATAGCATGACACATTTGCCACTAGCCGTGCAGTGGCTATGAAACAACTTAAGAAGGATCTTTAGCTCGTCAACAGCCATCTAATTAGGCAGTATGCCTGGCAATCAAATTTTTATTGCTAGTCGAAGTCATGATCGAGGCAGATAAAATGGAGGAAAGGGAGATGTGTCCCTCGATGATGCTATCGCCGTGAGACCGCACATATGTTCACCATGTCGGTCAACTCGGGATGGACAGGAAGCCAAGGACGTGCACAAGAACGTTGTTGCAGGGGTTGATCAGGTCATCACCACTGCCATGGTCAAATGGATTTCCCGTCTTTGTATTACCTTATGATCAATCATGGTGGACTCCATGAAAAAAGCAACAAATTTGATTGACTATTTGCTAAATGCTTTCTATATACACAGTTGCAAGCATGAGGAATACATGTTAGTCAGATTTGTTCACAACATTTCCTTCACAAATGGATAACATAGTACATAAAAAGCGGAAACATGATCTAGCAACGGATGGAAAAAGAAGACGGCAACAGAAGAATTTTTTTTTATTTGTATGTAGTTATATATAAAGATTTAGCTGAGACCCAAATGTGAATCAATATTTTCTCTATTATTGTTTGTTAGGCATAACTCTTCAATCTCCTAATTAGATCCTCGTATTAGTTGGACTAAAAGAAGAAACATACAGATTATCACGTCATGTAAACAGCTAATAAAGAAACAAACACCTTCAATGCGATCGTGGCTGCTCTTGCTCCTCCTGCTCGCATCAAGACCATGATTATTATTTATGCAGATGCAACTTCCACATATATCAATATATGGATAACACACCAGTGATGATGACCGATGAGGTGCTGTTGTCATCTCAAGCCACATGTTCTCGAGAGAAAAAATCATGAGCGCATCGAATGCCATGGTGTAGGGAAGCCGGGGACATTCATTGCTTAATGATGACATCATGGTCTCTCGATCTTGTGGAGCCGGGAAGCTTATTCAAAACCATATCGTTCTTACAGTCTGTCAAAGTGATGGTGATTGTTTAACCTCAATGAGAGATTTAAGTTTCAAGGCAAAATATTTCGATAAATTTTACATGCCATACAAACCATGCATCAACTTAGCAACGTCGACAAACAATGACAATATTTATTGTTAGCCGTGCAATGGCTATGGCGGAATTCATGTGGGATCGTCAACTCTTCAATGTTTATCTTATTGGATGTCAAACCTAACAAGGACATTCTTGACAAAGGTGATGACTGCTCAAAATTGTATTGCTCATTGAAGTCACCATTGAGGCATAAGGCAAATGAAGGGCAAGAAAGGGAGACATGCGGAGTGCCCCCAGATGATGCCGCCGCCACGAGACCGCGCATGCGCTCCCCACATCGGTCAACTCGCTGTAGGCAAGAAGTCGAGGATGTTCACGAGAATGCACATCATGGATGTGGCTGGTTATTTAATTGTCGTTGTTGTGATATCATGGATTTCGTCGCCATTGTTATGCCTCATGCTTAACAATGGTGGACTCCATGAAAAAGCAACAAACTCAGTTGCCTAGTTGCTAAATCAATAAATCCATTTTATAGTTACACGAGCAATCATAATCATAGACATTTATATTTCGAAGCCAATTTCTTTCACGTTGTTTTCTTGACGACCAGATGAGAGGCTACATGAAAAACTTTGCAATGGACATAAAACGGATAACAAATGAAAACACTTTTTAAGTAGGTAAAAATTTAGTTACGACTCAGAAGTAAATCTAAATTTATGTTGTTTCCGAAGCGCATATATAACTCTTTGATCTCCTCATTTACGTATTATCATGTAACACAAATAGTTAAAAAAGAAACAAACACCTTTGAAGTGAACACGGTAGATGCTCTTGCTTATCTTGCTCATGCGGTCATGCCCACGATGTTTTAGATTGGTTGACTCCCTTGACTAAGTTAGATCCTCGATGTTCATTTGATTTGGCGGCATACCTGACAACAACATTATTGACAAAGGTGATAACCAATCAAATTTCTATTGCTTGTTGAAGTTATGAATGAAGCAACAGAAAGAAACGAGAGAATATCCATGAGAACATTGCCACAGAGGTGGTTGATAATGTAGTTGTTCTCGCAGTAAGATGGTTTTTTTTCAACTTTGTTTTATCTCATGCTCAACCATGATGGATTCTATAAAAAAAATAGTGAATTTGATCGGTTGCCCAGTTGGTAAATCATTAATGTTCCCATATATGGTTAGATCCATGACAAATCATATGTGTTTCCGTGTCTAAGTTAAATTTGTTCATATATATATATAGAATCACTTATGCTAATGTACCAACAAAGAAGGGAGAGGACACGGCCCAAAAAGGATGGTTTCTTTGCTTGATGGGTTGTTTGATGTCTTTTCTTTAATTTTTTGAATACATAGTATATATATCATTTTTTTGCCAAAATTCTTGGGTATTCATTTGAATACCCTTGAATTGTTGTAGGCCTGCCCCTGCTGTGTCAAAGACAACATCTCTTCAAATCAAGCAGTCTGACCTCTCGCCAGTGGCGTCATCATGGAGCCATGGCAGATGCTGGAAGAATTGTTCCGCGACATCTGCCGTGGCCACTTGACCAGCAGTCTCAATCTTCGATGTTTGGACACCCATCCCTACGCCTCATCGTGTTGCTTCCATATGTGAACTACGAAGGCTCGTGTTCCAGTACATCAGCGGGCTGGAGCTCTGTCTCACTAACAACAAGCTGGAATTTCTCCAATGGCAGCAACTAAGGTGGCATCTGGTGATCTCCGTGATTGGCAGCGAACATACCGACAACAATACAAGATCCAATCATTGAATTTATCCATTCGTATAAGCTATTAGCCAAAAGATTGATGCAATAAGCAGGTGTAAGCTTGATTAGCCCAAAGCTTGATGCCGACCAAGCTTTGTCGCCGTCGCCAAAAACAAGCTAATGTCGTGCCGTATGAGCAATGGTGACTGGCGAGCCAAGCCATGGGGTTGGCACGGAGGAAGGAGTTGAGGATTGACATTAATTATCAGCGCATAGGGCGAGCTCGCTACAGCACAATAATAGTGAGAGAGATCGGGCTACTCGGTCTGGACTCTGGAGTGATGGGTTCGACTGTACTCTTTGATGATGATGAGTTGAAAAATAACAGAAGTACTTAAAAATAGAAATAAAAAACTTTTAGATATTATTTAACTGAACCGATAACTTTTATTCTTCAAAAAAAAGTGGTAACTTTTAGTACTAGAAAGCTAAAAAATATAAACTTTGGATGCTTAAAGTCAATTTTACATAAATCAGTATTTCCTCTGTTCTAAAATATAGCAATCTTTAGATAAGATATGTTCCATCATTCACTTAAAAGTTATTATGTATTGGGACAGAGATTCTCCCGTACACTAGCATAGTGACTAGAAGAATGAGAAGAAAGATACTAGTAACGTTATCCCGTTGCATAAACGGCTGATAAAGAAACAAACACTTCGGACGCGAACGCGAACTTGAAACGCTCGCGTCGCGTTCCCTGAGAAGTTTGAGATTGTTTGACCACTCGACCAAGCCAGTCCTCCTCTCTCTCTCTCTCTCTCTCTCTCTCTCTCTCTTCCCCCAAATCCCGCGCCCGCCGGTACGAATCCCGCCGCCGCGCCGCGCCGCCATGTCCTCCTCCCGCGGGCCGCCATCTCCTCCGTCCCACCCGAACCCCATCGATCCCTTCGCCGCGGCGGCGGCGGCGGCGGCGGAGGCGGAAGGGGAGGCGGCGCCGCCGCCGCGAAACCCTATCATCCCCCGCGACCCCCCCTCGCCGGAGATGGAGGCCACCGCCGAGGCGCTCACCCGGGAGGAGGTTCTGCGCCGGCGGAGGCGCCGCGCCAAGCGCCTCGTCGACGTCTACCGGCGCCTCTACTGGACGCTCGGGGAGGAGCTGCGGGCGCGGCACCGGCAGTACGTCTGGGAGCTCGGCCGGAGCCCGCTCGAGGCCGAGCAGCCGCCGCCGCCGCCGCCGACCTCCGCCGCGCCCGGCCCCGGCGGGGACCTGGTGGTGGTCAGGCCGGTGTCCGCCACGGTGCCGAGGCGGAAGAAGTGCGGCTTCGCCGGCTGCAAGGTGCGGACCATGGCGATGGCCAGGTTCTGCCACTCCCACATCCTCTCCGACCCCAACCAAGTGCTCTACAAGGGCTGCGCCTATATCAGCAAGAGGCAAGTCGCTGATAACCCCTCCTCTTCTCCTCGATTCAGCGATAAAGCCTTTTGGATCTTGGGCAACTCATTGTCTGGATCTAATAATAACCTAGGGTTGAGAGACGCACGCCTTCGTCTCGTATTAGGCTATATTGGTACCGGAGAAATCTGGCATTGCCTCCGTTTGCGCTGACCGCGATACATGGACTTATGTCGTGCAGATTTCTTAAATTCTTAAATCTATGACATTAATTACATGTTTCTGCACAAAATCTTTGAGTGTGGACTGTGGGTATACAACAACCATGTGACTCAAAGCGCATTGTTGTTGACCACTCAATGCTTGAAGATGCAACAAATTTGATATTTCATCACTTAGTTACAATATGGATAGATGATCTAATTTGTTTCATTGCCTTCATTTTGTGATTATATATATGTGAGGATGACTATGTGTTGTTTGTGAAATACGATGAGAGGAGTAATGTGCTGTTCGTGAAATAGTTGCAATTGTTATTCTTAGTGACAATTGATCTGTATATGGTGGTTAAACTATATGGTATAATATATAGGATAGATGTGTATCTTGGGTTGCATCTTCCTTAACCACATAGGGAGTAAGATAAAACCTGGCATGTAGATCCAAAGAAACAAAATAGCTCCTTCATTAAGAATGGTCTCATGAAAAATAGGGATGCGGAAGATGTCTTGCTTCTATAGTCTAGTTTAATAGTATGTAATTGTATGCTTATGTGATAATGAAAATGTGAATAAGCAAAATTTCTGTTGGAAGTTTATGGTTTGCTGTAGGTAGATCCATCGATATATCAAACTTTTTAGTGGAGATGTAATATATGGATCCCTCCAATATGGTTAAATTTATCTAACACAAATTTCTTATTTATTTCATATGATCTAATATCATCCTGGTATAAACTCATCTGGGTTATCATCCTGTACTTGGTATACCTGTTAAAGTTTACGCTTTCATTCTTTATCCTATTATATTTGAATAATAGTGTTGAATTTGGACTAAGTTTTTGGAATAGGTTGTTTAACTTGTTTGATGTTAGACATCTGGTGCTATTTCTCTGTGAATTACATTTGCTGCTTGTATGTCCCGAGGAAAACTTCAGTTCAGATTTAACTTTTTGTTACTTTACATTTGTTTTATTGATTATTAACAGAGCTTCATAGTTTGCGTTCTAACAAGATTCATCATAATGTTTCAGTGGCCCACAAGTTCAAATTACTTGCGGCAGACCCATCCTTAAAGCTTCAGTTCCCTCCCTCTGCAATTCTCATTTTCAAAAATGTCAGAAGTTAATTACACAAGGTTATAAGAAGTTTGGAGTTAACCCATCACCCACAGGCAAGGTCTCTCCAAATTTTAGTTTGTTGGTTGCTGAATGTGTTCGTCAGATCCAAGCCAAGCGGAGAGAATCACCAAGTTGAATGAGCCGTGTCACAACTCACAACTTTGTTGTTGCACAAATTTTATGAAATGGCAGGTATTATGAGGCTTACCAAGGCACTGATAACTTCTTTTGCCAGAATACTGCACCCACTCTTACTTGAACGAAATAAAATGAGGAAAATTCATAGATATATGTGAGTTTGAGTTTGAAGTGCATCTCTGGCAGGATTATTTCATGGGGGAATTGGAAGACGGTTAACTGCAGATGTCAAATGTATAGTTGATTGATTAAGTCAATGGAGTATCACCATGAGGATGCACGAATGAAATTCCCTTGGATAGCACCTTATATCTAGTAAAATGCTTTATCATGAGTCCAATGGGTTGCTGTTGCTGATCACCAGGGAGGGATGCCATTTAATTTTGCTGTTTTTGCTGGGAGGTTCAATGCTGACTGTATGCATAGCTGCTTGGTTCTTCATAATGAGTTGCAACTTGCAAGGCAGTATAGCTCATCACATTCTGAACTGGATTTCACACTGAATTAAGTTCATCCAAACATGGGCCATATGTTCTTTGTAATTGTAGCCGGTGCAATTGCTGTGCTACTATTCAGCTTGGTGCCAGAAATGTTCTTTTTGTGAAGTAAATACCATTATCACTTTCCCCAAGTGGTGATTATGAACCTTGAATATATGCATGTACCTCACTTCCCCAGGTGGTGATTTCGTACATTGCTTATACGCCCATGCAGATGCAGAGGGAGCTGAAAGCCTGATGCAATTCGAAGTTTGCATGAATTCAAAGGTGCTCTGTTTTAAGAGTGATACTGCATAACATACTGTGTAGGAGCCCTACAAACAAGAGATTACGAGGAGATTCCATGTGCATTTGATGCTTGCCTGGTACAACTGTATAGCTGGAATCTTTGCATGATATGAGAGATGCTTTGCATTGGTAAATGTTTTTGCACCACCTGCTGATGGAGGAGCCCCACCAGAATAGATTTGTGAAGGTGTTGCTTGGTTGCAGGGATGCTGTGCCAATAATGGTTTTGCACCACATACTGAGCGACCCTGCTAATAACGAATTGAGGTGATATTTATTCAAGGAATGTTTACCAAGTATCACAATCGAATTCCATGGACAGAAAAATTGAATTTGGATGAACATTAATTTCTTGGCTACATATGACAGTGGATGTGCTGGATGTGGATTATTATTTTCTTGGCTACAAGACATTGTGGATGTGAAAGCGCATATCAGATATCATGGGAATAGGACAAGAATGTCGGGTGGCAGATTTCTGATGCTGGGATTTATCAGGATTGCTAGCGTAAGGTGTTGCTTTTTCACTCTACTCTGCTTGGTTTCGATGCTTAGTTTAATGTTGTAAGGTAGTTACCAGTTGTAAATGACTGTCTATCGTTTTCTCATGTTAAATGATTTTACTGTGAGAGCCCTAACCCTACGTGCTCTGTTTTTTGATATGGCTGTCAAGCAGCGATATGTCCATCAGTCCATGTTCCGGCTCAACTAACCTTGCTTTATCGGATAGAACTTGTGGAAAGGGGAGGGATTTTACTTCTTCCGTTTCATTCTAGAATTTTCTATATTCATATTGACGTTATATATATATATATATATATATATGTGTGTGTGTGTGTGTGTGTGTGTGTGTGTGTGTGTGTGTGTGTGTGTGTGTGTGTGTGTGTGTGTGTGTGTGTGGATTTATTAACATTAATATGAATGTGGAAAATGCTAAAATGACTCGGATACTAAAAATCATTTTTACTGCGTGAAAACATGTTCGGGCCGTCCATTGGATCCAGGGTACATTCAAGGGTTAATGTATAAAATCTGTACACAGTATATAAATGGAACGGTGTAGCAAGAAAGCCACCAGGTGAAGCAGCACCATTATCAATCCTTCTACATCGTCCGACGAACTTTTAGATGCTTCCAGTTGCTACCAATCTTGATGGCCTTATTTTCGTGATGTTTGACTAAGGTCTTGATTAGTTGGGGAAAACTTTTAGGTTTGATTGTCACATCGGATATATGGAGATACATTTGAAGTATTAAGACCCCGTTTAGTAGGACTCCAAACTCCAACTCCTAGCTCCAAACTCCCACTCCAGTGGAAGCTGGAGGTCATGTGAAAAGTGTTTGGCAAGCTTGGTCTGCTCCAGAACTACAAAAAGAGAGGATATGGGGGAGGTTGACAATAGTATCCTTGTGGTTTTTTCTGTTTTCGTGATGTATAACTGATAATTGTTTATTGAGTAAATTGCGCTTGTGGTACAAAAATTTGTATGGTGGGTGCAAATAGGTATAATAACTTGCAAATTGCTCATCTCGGTGTAGTAACTTGACTAGTCCGTGCGAATTGGGCCAAAATTGTCAATGCAAACCAAATTGTTGTAAAACATCACAAACAGATGTGGCATGATAGCTTACATGTATGACCATGTTTTGGATATCTTATTTAAAATCCAAAGAAAAAGAGAAATTAGATGTGTAAAATTACATTTTTGATGCATAGAAAAGAATTTATTTCATGTCTTGGAAAAAAATTGTCCTGTATATAAGTCGTATAATGTCGGGCCAGGAAAATTTCGTCCATGAGCCTTCTGGAAAATTCATTTTATTTCTCATTCTCAGACACTATTTCACCGAAAACTTATTTTAAAAGTTTATTTCCATGGTTGGACATTGATAATTGTTTCACTTTTGTCAATCTAAACATTGAAAATATCAAGTGAATAATAGTTACACATTTTATCAATCCAAAAATTGATGCGTAATAAAAATTACTCATTAATATGTACCATATTAGATCAATTTTGCTTGCAGAGATTGTTTTGGCCTAGGTTCGCACGGACTTGGCAAGTTGTTGTATCGAAATGAGCAATTTGCAAGTTGTTGTTCTTATTTACACCCACCACGCAAGTACCATAAGTGCAATTTACTCTTATTTATTTTTCTTTAGAATGGTTGCATCATAATTACAAGATTAAAAATTAATAGACAAAATAATTTACATAATTAGTGAAAGCACATAGTGTTTTCTTGGTTTAGATCTGAAATTTGTATAGTCTACCATTTTGTTCTCACTTCAAAGTGTATAAACACATGATAATTTTTCACAACTAAATAGTTCATATAAAAAAGGAATCACCCACAACATACATGCAAAATCACGCTGTTGTTCCTTTGGTCCAGATTTGAATTTGGAAAAAAAAATGAAAAAAAGGGTCGATGAGGGGATTAGCTCCTCGCAGTCGCAGCCCTAGCTGCCAGCCGTGCGCCGCCGTCGGCCTGCTAGCCGCGTGCGCCGAGCCGCCGCCTGTTCGCCCGCCGCCGCCGCCTGGCTCGATGGATGTTGATAGGTGGGAGGGTTACGGGAGGGAGGTGAGGAGGTGGCAGTTTCGCGTAAATACATCAAATAATTAAAGGACAGTGGGTCTTTTTGGGTGGAGTGGAGTTGTGGAGCAGCAAAAATCCAACTCCACCCCCTTAGTTCATTTTTTAGGAGCAATTCTGCAAACTCCACTCCAGAAAACATAGGATCTGGACCGTTTGGCACAACTTCAACTCCAGCTTAATTAACTAGTAGAGATCGGCACATCTATGATGATTTACTTTTGTCATGGAAGATGCGATAATCATCATAAAGTAACATCTATGACGAACTTATGACGAAATAGGATTCGTCGTAGAAGTCGCGTCACATTTGTTTCTCTATGACGAAATGGTAGATTTCATCATAGAAATTCTTCTATCCATGACGAAGGTGCTCGTCACAGAATTGCTATCCAGCTGGCTAGTGACAAGCATCATCCATGCCACGTGGCTGCCATACGTGGAATCCACGTTGGATGTGACGTGGCAGATGACGTGTACTCCACATTTGTCCAAGCCACGTGGCTGCCAGACGTGGAATCCACGTTGGATGTAACGTGGCAGATGACGTGTACTCCACATGGCGGATGACGTGTACGCCAGTATGCTAGAGCCACATGGCAGTCGTATTTAACCCCACGTGTTGGCATTTCATATGTCCACGTGGCGTTAGCGTGCAACGCCACGTGGCCAAATGTGGCAACGCCACATGTTCTCATTTTGAGGCGCCACGTGTCTTTATGACAGGTGTCCTTACCTGATACAGCCACGTGTTAATATGTTTTGATGACACGTGTCAAACACATTAAGGATTCAGGTCCACTCATTTGTTCTGGCCCAACCCATTTGGCCACACATTTTACATCTAGTTGTGGCCCAGTCCACTATTAGTTCTAGAAAATTTTTAGCATTGGCCCATTTGGAGCAACAATTAGAACTTTGCACACATTACAAATAGGACCAACATAAACATTGAACACAGATACCAACTTCATTACAAATAGCCCCAACATCAACATTAACATTGAACACAGAAACCAACTTCACCGATGATCCCAAACTTGTGAGCCAGTGTTGCCATCACCTCCACTGGCAGCAGCAGCCATGGCCCGCCGAGCTCGACATCGACGATGTTGCCGAAGTCCTTGCTAACAACATCGATCCTCTGAAACACCTGATAATCAAACGAAACCAAGTTTCAGATTATACCAACACCAAATTTCTGATTCTCCAAATCAGATTCAGCTGAATAATAATTCAGGATCAATTGTTTTTCTGACCTGCCCGAGGGTGATGGGGAGGAGCCTAGCAACCTGATAGTACATAACCATATGTTAGATTATTTTTTTTATGCGCTAGATAAACAACAAGAAACAATCTATAGATACGACATTAGTTTTTTAATGATAGGGCTACTTTGCAACACCAATCTGATGTCCCCATAATATATTGCACTAACATATCTCAATGTCCCCATCCCCAACCCACCTCATTTCATTGGCCAAGCAAACAAGCAACCGAACTAGAATGCATAGGAGTTTAGCACTAAAATTTAGACACTAAAGTTATGATACGAGTAACTTCCTATACATGCTTCATTTCTACAGACTATAGGCATATAGCATGACCGTAAAGTGTGGTGTAAAGTTATGGACACCATTTAAACATGCTTCATTTCTACAAAGTACATGCATACAACGGTTCCAAAATTTATATCACCAGTGGAACAATGTAGCAGCAACATCACTAAGTACTATAACACTAGAGTGGAACACACAGCGCGCTGCACCAGTGGCATCAGAAGACGAAAATTTGTCGTTATTTTGGTAAACAGAGTAAATACTAAATCAAAAGGTATTATAACAGATGAGTACCAATTCTACAATATACATTTTAATCTCAATGGAAAACTAAATCTCAATTTTTAATAATGCAAGCAAGGCCTGAAATCATGGGTCATCTAGGAGTATTGATTTCTATTCACTCCTGCTAGAGTGATGCTAGATTGTTAGAGTATAGTATTATTTCACTTTTGGTGTAGGATAATCCCAAATGATAGAGCTGTTTCAGCATCCTAGCTACTGTAGTGATGCTGTTTTTTTATGACAGGCAAACGGCTAGTGACATCATCAGACAATGGAATTAATTTAGTAGTACCATATACCCTTTTTTTTTCAAGCAGCAGACTGCAAACTAACCATTCAATGGCACTCATAGATTACAGACTAGCATAGTTACAGGATACAGTACTAAGTGCATAGTAATCTACCCTAGTGCTCACACGTGCAAATGGAAATCCCCTAGTGCTTTAACTTGAAAATTGCCATAATGCCCTCTGAATTGTATAACATAATTGGGTATAATTTCATATATTTATATAACTGATTTAACTACTAACTGCCAATTGTTCAACAAATAGAAAGTACTCAACTAGTATTTGACAATTGTTCAACATATAAGAGTGGCAATATGTGAAATATATAGAGGATTGAAAATTGTGCAATGTTTGAGGCAGGGGGACTCATGAATTGAGGATTTAAAATTCATGAACAATTGTTCAAGAGCAAGACCATTTTTTCTCTTCATATTTTAGACCCAAAAATCCAACAATATGGAAATGGGATAAATGCCTCTGGATTCTCATGGAAGAATTGAAGAAGAATCATGCAATGCAATGGTAGTGTAGAAGAATCATGCAATGTAATGGTAGTGTGCCGAACGCCATTGCCAATAAGTGGATACGGTAGCTCTGCTACATAAATTGATTTCCTTTCTGTAGGACAGGGGAATAATAGACTTAAGTACACATGCCAAGAATTATCATTGCTGAGAGGAGTTGCAACTGTACTCTGTACTTAGATCTGAGTAGCATCATACGCAGGTAAATGCATGCAGAACTTGCAGATCGAGGGAACAGTGCTACCGGATGAATCGCAGGATCAACCAACATTCAACAAAGACAGATAGATAGAGATTGAAGCTTACTGTTGTGGCTGGCGGATGAGTGCTCGACCCATCGGCACTCCAGGGGAATCCACTTGAGCACCCTCCCGTCCGACACGCCCGTGTACGGGCCGTCGCCGTCAAACGCCACGCAGCCACGCTCTCCGGCCCAACCGCGGACCTGCTCCTGGGGGACCCTGCAGCCCTGCGCCGACGAGTCGTGCGGCCGCGCCAGCGCCGCAGTCGCCGGCTCGGCGGCTCGCCGCCGCCGCACCCGTACGCCTCCTCTTGCTCGGCTCCCGTGTCTAGGGTTTGGGTATTAGGTGATTAGGGTTAGATGGGGAGGAGAATTGGGGAAAATGTCGAAATGGGCTGAGTTGCTCCTGGCCATCGTGTCCAGCATCGGAGCTGCTCCGGATCAAGCGCTGCACCACCATATGGAGCGCTGCTGTGGATTATGGGAGGCAACATCAGATGAAGCAGCGAGTGGACGGAGGATGTAGCGGCGGCGGGAGGCGATGCGAGGCAGCAGAAAGGCGGGAGGTGGTGCGGGAGTACCGTCGCGGCTGCTTTCGGGGTGGGGAAGCCTGCCGCCGACGCCTAGAGAGGTGCCGACGCCGATCAGGGCTACCGGCCGCGGAAGCGAGATGCCGCCGCCGCCGCCGCCGCGGGTGTGGGGAATGCAGAGGGAAAGAAATGAGAGTGGATGAGGGTTAGGGTTTGCAACCCTATTTTATACTTCATTGGTGCAATGACAGCCATTCGATCAAGAATCAATGGCCAGAAATTTATGGGCCGAGTACAGTAACGGGCCGATTTCTGGGTTTAGGCCTACTAATATATGTGGTATTTTTTTAATTTCAATTTATGAGAACTTTAAATTTAATTTTAGGCCAATTTGTGTGTGTTTTAAATGCAAAAATCATAAACAACAAAATTTTAGAACTCATCAATATCTACAACTATTGTATTGGTATTTTTACAAATAAGTTCATTTGAACAATTCAAATTTTGAATTTTCAAAATTTGACAACTTAAAAAAAATTGGGGTAAATAAATGATGTAAAATGAAAAAGTCACCAAAATCAAAGTTGTAGAACTCATAGAGATGCAAAATTTTTATTTTGGTCATTTCTCCATCTGACTCTATTTGAACAATTTGAAATTTGAAATTCAAAGTTTGAGACCTTCAAATAGAATTTTTTATTAGTGAACGACTTCAACTGAAAAAGTCATCAACAACAAAGTTGTATAATCCATCAAGATCTATAATTTTTATTTTGGTCATTTATTCATCCGATAAAGTGATAGTAACATTATTTACAAATTTTACATATCTCCCGTATGGTTTCATAAGTTATAAGAGAGATATGTAAATTTTGAGAACAACGTTACTATCACTTTGTCGAATGAATAAATGACCAAAATAAAATTTGTAGATCTCGATCAGTTCTACAACTTTTGTGTTCATGAATTTTTCAGCTGAAATCGTTTACTGCTTCAAAATGTCATTTGAAGTTGCCACTTTTTGAAATTTAAATCTTCAATTGATAAAACAAAGTCACATGAAAGTATGCCAAAAATAATAGTTGTAATAACACAATAAATTGATAGATCATGAACTTAGAAAAATTTAGAAAAAAGAATAATCAAATTTGAAGTTAGTATGAGAGAGAAAGACTACCTACAAGTTTTAGCCAAAGATTAAAAAGATAAACCACACTTTATGATGAACCCCACAAGCAGGTGATGCAGGTCCTAGCTCCTAGGTCGTCCGCATAAAACATTCAATCATTCATGCGTTCAAGAATTGTGAAAGGAAAACTAAAAGTATTCGATCCTAGCTGCAGCATATTTTTTTAGAAAAAGGTATTTCATATGGGCTGCAAGTAGACAGCATTTGCCATCTCCTGGCCCGAAAACACACCTGGGCTGCATCCGTGGGCCAAATAACTAAAACGAAAACACACCTGGGCTGCATCCGTGGGCCAAATAACTAAAACGAATGTTGGGACCCACTGTACCTCAATTATATGTGGGTCCAGTAACAACCTGGTTAGCCACATATACAATGTGGGGTCAATCTAGATAGCCACATATACAATGTGGGGTCCAGGGAAAATCTGGATAGTGCCACATATACAAGGTGGGACCAATAGGAGAATAGATATTGACTTACATCTGATGAAATATATTTCAGCATAAATTCTATTAATAAAGGAGCATCATAAGTGAGTTACATGAATGGTGCGCAACATTTGTGACGAAATTATCTATTGTTTTTTGACGCTATTTTAAATTTCGTCATGGAGTTTCGATGTCTACCCCTGCGCATGAGTGATCCGTGACGAAACATGAATTTTCGTCATAGATATGCTCTGTTCAATGACGAAATTATACAACGTCACGAGCAAAACGTCATAGATGGACGATTTCCTACTAGTTGCAGGTAAGTTGGAGCTGGGAGCTAGAGCTGTGCCAAACAGATCCTAAACGTAGTTAATAACAAAAACAAATTACAGATTCCGCCAGGAAACTGCGAGATGAATTTATTAAGCATAATTAATCTGTCATTAGCAAATGTTTACTGTAGCACAACATTATCAAATCATGGTGCAATTAGGCTTAAAAGATTCATCTCACAATTTACATGCAATCTGTGTAATTGTTTTTTTTCCTACATTTAATACTCCATGCATATATCCAAACATTCGACAGCGTGAAAAATTTTATTTTGGGAACTAAACAGGGCCTAAGAGCATCACCGAGAGACTCAAAATTTCATCCCCAAAATTTAGATTTTGGGATTATTAAACAGAATTTGAGGTTTGAATACATTGATCTCTCCTAGTGATAGCCTAAAATTAACTTCCTAAAATTTAAAAGTTCCCCATTTAAAACTACCAACAAAAAAAAATATTTTTTTCTCTCCCAGACCGATGTGATTCCGAATCCCGGTCGGCCGGCGACGATGTTGCTCGCCCCTCCACGCGACAGATCTATTTTTCCTCCCCTCATTGACATTAGCAACAACATTTAGCAGCATTAGGATGCAAGGAGCAGCTTCAGGCCTTCAGCCAAAGTAATCATCATGCGGATCATCAAACAACGACATGTATCAGCAAACATCAGTAGCAAACTAGTAGCAATTACTATGGATGTGACTAGACAGCTACCGATCGCTGTGTAATCGGATCGTAGATCGGATGAGTAGTTTAAGAGAATTTTATTTGAAGCATAGGTGGTTCCTATTTGCTTGATGAACTATTTTCAGTAGAGTAATGGTTTCAGTGGTGTCGCGCTGTAAAACTAAACCGAGAGGCTTCTCGGTTTTGATTTTGCGCTGTCGATGCATTGAGTTGGACCGCCGATATCCCTATTTTCCGTGCAGCTGACTGAAATGGCTTCACAGATCACCCGAGCACCCCCGCCTCCAGTTCGAGGTCATCCGCTGCTGGCCCCAACTCCCACGCAATCGGCCAGACATCTGTAGCTGTTGCTAATTGCTTATGTTGATTGGAGATAGTAATTCATAAAATCTAAACCGAGAAGCCTCTCGGTTTAGTTTTACAACGCGACACCACTGAAGCCATTACTCTGCTGATGCTGAAAATATAGTAGTAGTTCATCGAGCAAATAAGGTTTGTTTTTTCATGTAGCTTTTCTCGCCAAAACCCCTCATCATTCTCCAACTTCCATAGCCATTTTCCTAGGAGAGACATATTCATTGTCTCTGGATCAAGAATCCCAAGCCCACCCTGGTCTTTTGGTCTACAAGTCACTGGCCATTGCACCGAATAATACTTTCTAATCCCCTGATCTGCCACATAAATCTTGTTCTATAAAAATCCATCATCCTTTTTCACTCCTATAGCATGATGAGCAGTAGTATGTCATGGTGCTCTTTCATTCATGTTGAATAGAGTTTTTTTTATGAGCGAGTCCCAACTTAAGATTAAGAAAAGGCCATATACACTGTAGTATGTGTTATACTCCCTCTGTTTCTAAATACTTGATACTGTTAATTTTTTTTAAATATGTTTGATCGTTCGTCTTATTCTAAAAATTTAAGTAATTATTAATTCTTTTCCTATCATTTGATTCATCGTTAAATATACGTATATGTATACATATAGTTTTACATATTTCACAAAAGTTTTTGAATAAGACAACGGTCAAATATGTGCTAAAAAGTCAACGGTATCAAATATTTTAAAAGGGAGGGATTATATAAATAAACATGAGGCTATGGGTCCTATCTTATTGCTTAGCGACCTTAAACATTGATGGCCTGTTTAGTTCGCGAAAAGAAAATTTTTGGGTGTCACATTGGACGTTTGACCGGATGTCGGAAGGAGTTTTTTTTACATGAATGAAAAAACTAATTTCATGACTTGCATGGAAACCGTGAGACGAATCTTTTGAGCCTAATTAATCCGTTATTAGCACATATGTGTTACTGTAGCACTTTATGGCTAATCATGGACTAATTAGGCTCAAAAGATTCGTCTCGCAATTTCTTCTCTAACTGTGCAATTAGTTTTTTAATTTATCTATATTTTTAATGCTTCATACATGTGTTCAAAGATTCGATGTTTTTTTGAAAAAGTTTTTGGAACTGCCTGAAGATGCCCGAGTACCAAACAGAAAATTTGCTGCGTGCATATGACGTGATCGTGCGCAAATACTCCAGTTCCTAAGGACCTGTACGCCAAAGGGACGTCCCCTCCGCTCCCCTCCCCAGATCCTCTCTCTCGAATCGTCTTTGGGCGGCCAACGCATCTTCCTCTTCCTCTTCCTCCATCTCATCTCACCATCCCATCCACGCTTCTCGACTCCCAGACGACGCTGCTGCTGCCTTTCGTCAACCCCCCACTTCTCCTTCCCCGCCGCCGCTCGCCGCCATGGATGAGGAGTACGACGTGATCGTGCTGGGGACGGGCCTCAAGGAGTGCATCCTCAGCGGCCTCCTCTCCGTCGACGGCCTCAAGGTACCTCTCTCCTACCCAATCCATCCGCCGCCTCCCGTGCTCGGATCGGTGCTCCCCATCGTCGTCGATCCGTAGATCGCCCCCCACTTCATCTCATCTGGGCTTGACGCTGCCGCACTCGGATGAGCTGCTGCCATTTTGATCGCTGATTTACTTAGCTATGCGAGCGTAGCGGGATGGTAATTTGTCCGTACATCGTGGCTGGGTAGGTGGTGGCGCCATGGTTGTGGTGGTTGCTTTGCGTTTGGGGGAGGGATCGTCAGTGCGTGCCTGAGCTTACGACTTCCCTTATCCCATTTAAAAGAGTAGCGGCATAGCGATTTTGGGGGATTTCACAACAAGATCTAACTAAACAGATCGGATGCACTTTTCAATGTTTTTGCAGGTCTTGCACATGGATAGGAATGACTACTATGGAGGAGATTCCACCTCGCTCAACCTTAACCAGGTAAGCAAACTGCAATGAACTTAATTTGACCAGTACAGGGTCTATATCTTGTCGTCATATCATGTCAAGGAATGCTTATGTTATTACAGAGTACATTATTTCTTTTAATTTTTTGTCCTTGTTCACTGACATTGTTTTCCACTTCGCTTTTTGGAATAGCTGTGGAAGAGGTTTAGAGGGGAAGACAAACCCCCGGCTCATCTGGGCTCAAGCAAAGATTACAATGTAGATATGGTCCCAAAGGTGCAACTGTCACTTTCCCCCATCATAATCTATCT